GTGTAAAGACTGGGTTACCAGCTGTAACAATAACTAGGCACACGGCTCAAGAAAAAAGAAAAAAAAGTAATTTTTCACGGAAGAATTTCGATGAAACCCTTTACTATGAAGACAAGTATGGAAACTGCTTTCAACAAAGACGCAAACCTCCAACAGTTGTCGAAGAGCGGTCGTGGACACGGGTAATTCCACACCTGTGTATTGCTTTTTGCCATACGATGGAAACCAGGAGCAAAATAACCAGAATTGACGCCACCTTGGCGAGCCAAACGTTTTAACGCTCTAAAATTACGCAAAAATTAGTAACTCAGGAATTATAATGGAGAAAAATGGTCTGCAGACTGACTAAAAATCATGAATTCCCGGCTTGCAAACACAACTGAAGACTTACTTTTGAGGTAAAACAAGTAGACTCTGCTCACCGGTTCGCCTGACACGGTAGTCAAGCGGCACCGGCAGTGGGAACGGCTTATCAATGCCCAAAACTTTTTCATCCGAGCCATTTTCTTTTTTGCATTCAGGCGACGGAGGATGCGCATGTACAACACTGCTCGTTGTTCGCCCCACTAAAAAAAAGCCCTCGATTAATCGCATCGCTATATCACATAGTACAGCAACGGTTTAAAAAAAAAAAAAGAGATATCAAATTTTGCGCTGAATAAGATCTGCTATTGTTGAGGACCATGAACGCAAAAATTAACCAGTCATAGAATCTCACTAAAAAAAAGTGGCAGGATCGGCTGCTTTATTATGAAGAATCTACATGCCACAAAGCAAAAAAATATTCTATCTCAAGGGTGCACAAATAAAATAGGGTGATATTTTGCCATTTTATAGCAATGAGAGAAAACAAAACAGAGCACTGATAAGATTCAGCAAACACAAGAAGTTACTTGTTTGGGCAATAGCCTGACGGCAAGTTAGACTGTAACAACTCAGCGTACTGCTACAGTTATCAGTGAGCTGTGGTGGTATCAAGCCCATTTTGCACATAGGCGAATAGCAGTTCTTCAGCACATCCTTCTGCCACACCCTGAAACACATA